TATGTGCCTTGGCTTACATTTGTTCGGCTTATACTCAAGTATTTGCGGTAAATAAATAGATAACTAAACCTACTAAGAAAACCCTGTGAAAGGGTTACCATAAGTCTGAAACATTTTGAAAGTACACAACTGCAACAAACAAAACTGCACTTTGAAAGGCAATAGGAACAGAATTTAAAGGAACCTCGATAAACTAGAAACTAGATTTAAAATACAATAGTTTCGCTTATCCAACATTCTGTATTATCCAATGCAGTCGACCTCCCACCCAGATCCACATCTGTTTCAATACATTACGATGATTTGGTGTTAAATACGGTAATTACTATATAACGTTATCTTGTATTGAACTGCTTTTCTAGCCAACTTGTTGTAAAACATGGTTTTGGTGCTTAATTTGTAAAATTATAATGTAATTTGATGTTTAATAGGCTTTTCCTTAATCCCTCCTAATTATCCAACATTTTTGCTTATCCAATGTTCTGTCAGCCTGTTTATGTTGGATAAGCGAGACTCTACTGTAATAAAATGAAATACAAATGTAAAATTTGACATTTATGCCAGAAAATCCAAATGCACAAGTGTAAGATGATGGATACTTGGATCAATGAGTGCTGTGTGAAAAGTATCTAGGGATTATTGTGGATCATAAGTTGAACATGAGTCAACAGTGTGATGCTATGGCAAAGAAGGCAAAAGCTTAGCCTGAATTAATAGAAACATAATTTCCAAGTCAATAAAGTAATCCTCCCACTATATTCTGTGATGCTCAGATCTCCTTTGGTGTAGTACATTCAGTTCTGGGTGCCGAATTTTAAAAAGGACAAGTCGGCATGAGTTCAGAGAACAACAATGAGTATGATAAGAGATACGGAGAACAAGCAGATGAAGAGAAAGTCTAGAGGCGATATGATTGCACTGTTTAAATTCTGTACCTCAAAGAGTGTCACAAGGAGGGTGTTGCAAGTTTGCCCTCTGCTACCTCATTTTAACTCACAAGACAATAGATTTCAATTGAACATTAGAGGGAACTTATTGACAGTGAGAACAATATGACAATGGAAGCAATTGTCTAGAGGGGTTGTTGAGTCTCCTTCTCTCAAAGCCTTTGAAAAGAGGCCGGACAGTTACCTGCTTAGAATACTATAGTTGGAGATGCTGAATCCATGGGACCCCTTCTAACTCAATGATTCCATAATATATTTACATATGGTGTCCTGTTAGTGCCTTACTTAAACATAACTGTCACATACATGTATAGAAGTCCGTTTTGGGACAGGGTTATTACCTTTGTGCCTTGTCTCAAAAATTTCCAACAGCTAAGTAGAGGATGTCAAGTCTTGAGATGGAAGGGAGCTTATCCTCCCTACCAGTGGATAGAGTAGTCTACTATATGCCAAGAAAGTAAGGGGGGATTGTTTATTTATTTACCTTATTTATATCTCGCCCTTCCCACCCTGAAGGGGATTCAGGGCTGCTTATAACAAATTTGATGTCTTGAATACATAAAAATAAAGCAACATATAATTTAAAATCACATAGTTAAAAACTTACCAATTAAACCATTACTTAAAATCACGCAATCCAAAAACATGTGCCAGGAGCCATTCCAATTATTATTTGTATTGTTCACTATTGCACTGAAAGTTCAATTGTTGCACTAGGAATTACTGTGCAAACGCTTGATCCTACAACCAGGACTTAAATTTCTTCCTGAAAGTCAGGAGGGAAGGGGCTGATCTAATTTTACTGGGGAGGAAGTTCCAAAGCCGAGGGGCCACCACCGAGAAGGCCCTGTCTCTCATCCTTGCCAACCACACTTGCGAAGGGGGTGGGATTGAGAGCAGGGCCTCCCCAATCTTAACCTCCAAGATGGTTCATAGAAGGACATACGTTCTGACAAGTAAGCTGGGCCAGAACCGTTAAGGCTTTATAGGCTAAAGCCAACACTTTGAATTGTGCTCAGGAGCAGACTGGCAGCCAGTGGAGCGGACGCAGCGGGGAAGTTGTGTGCTCCCTGTACCCCACTCCAGTTAGAAACCTGGCTGCCGCCCGTTGGATTACTTGAAGCTTCTGAACAGTTTTCATAGGCACGGTACGGGCGCAACTGGCACACAAGTTTTAACTGTGTGAAAGTGCCCCTGGCCACCGCCAAAACCTGGGGTTCCAGACTCAGCTATGAATCCAGGAGGACTCCCAAGCTGCGAATCTGCATCTTCAGGGGGAGTGAAACCCAATCCAACACAGGCTGTAACGCTGTACCCTGTTCGGCCTTATGACATATCAGGAGTACTTCTGTCTTGTCTGGTTTCAATTTGTACATCCCTGAAAATTACCTTTTATAACTGAAAATTACCTTTTATAACTATGTCTCTCTCAAAAGGTTTTCATAAGGTATGTTGTGCCTCCATACATTTTATAGTGTCTAGATCAGGCATGGACAGACTTCGGCCCTACAATTCCTAACAGCCTATTGTGGGAGTTGAAGTCCAAAACATCTGGAGGGCTGAAGTTTGCCCATGACTATTTTAGAGCATTTCATATTTCTGGATAGATGCCCCCGGTGGCACAGTAGGTTAAAACCTTGTGCCGGCTGGACTGATGACTTCCAGGTTGGAGGTTCGAATCCGGGAGGGTGTGGATGAGCTCCCTCTGTCAGCTCCGGCTCCGCATGCAGGGACATGAGAGAAGCCTCCCACAAGGATGACAAAACATCAAAAACATCCGGGTGTCCCCTGGGCAATGTTCTTGCAGATGGCCAATTATCTTGCACCAGAAGCGACTTGCAGTTTCTCAAGTTGCTCCTAACACGAATCTATAGAATCTTTATAAATAAAAATGTAAAGTTCATTTGTAGAATTAACATAACTCAAAAAACCACTGGACGAACTGACACCAAATTTGGACATAATACACGTATCAGGCCAACAAGTGACCATCGTTGATAAAAACACTGAAAAACATAGCTGAAGAGACTTAAAAAGCCAAAAAATATATAATACATTACAATTGTTGTTTATTCGTTCAGTCGCTTCTGACTCTTTGTGACCTCATGGACCAGCCCACGCCAGAGCTACCTGTCGGCATACATCTCAGCAAGCAAGAGTCCAAAAGTGGCAGGCCCAAACCCAGCACCTCAATCCGTGGGTGATACCAGATGAGAGACTCCCCCCTGGGCACACAGAAGACTGGGCGACTTGGAAGGCGCTGAACAGACTGCGCTCTGGCACCACGAGATGCAGAGCCAATCTTAAAAAATGGGGCTACAAAATTGAATCCACGACATGCGAGTGCGGAGAAGAGCAAACCACAGACCACCTGCTGCAATGCAACCTGAGCCCTGCTACAATGGAGGACCTCCTTGTGGCAACCCCAGAGGCACTCCAAGTGGCCAGCTACTGGTCAAAGGACATTTAATCAACTACCAAGTTTGCAAAATTTGTGTTTTTTTAATCTGTTTGTTTGTTTTGTTCTGTTAGAAATGTAATACAATGGTATGGTTGCTGATGACACGATAAATAATGGTCTAGCTCTCACATCTATAGGTTACTATGGGGAATACCATTGCTTTAACTATGTGGATCTTTGTTGCCAGTGTGATGTTTCTTCTCTTCACTATTTTATCGAAATTGGTCATTGGTCTCCTCCCAAGAAGGAAACACCTTCTGATTTCCTGGCTGCAGTCTGCATCTGTAGTAATCTTTGCACCTAGAAATACAAAATCTATCACTGCCTCCACGCTTTCTCCCTCTATTTGCCAGTTATCAATCAGTCTTGTTGTCATAATCTTGGTTTTTTTTTATGTTAAGCTGCAACCCAGCTTTTGCGCTTTCTTCTTTCACCTTGATTAGAAGGCTCCTCAGTTCCTCCTCACTTTCGGCCATTAAAGTGGTATCATCTGCATATCTAAGGTTGTTAATGTTTCTTCCAGCAATTTTAACCCCAGTCTTGCATTTGTCAAGCCCCGCACGTTGCATGATGTGTTCTGCATACAAGTTGAATAGGTTGGGTGAGAGTATACAGCCCGTATGCCTTTCCCAATCTTGAACCAGTCTGTAATTCCATGGTCAGTTCTTACCATTGCTTATACAGATCCTAATACAGATTCCTCAGGAGAGAGACAAGGTGATTTGGTATGCCCATACCACCAAGAACTTGCCACAATACAATACAATGCATGCACATAACTATATATATAGCCATCCCCTGCCAATCATTGCTGTGGCCTAGTCTCTGTATATGTGCCTTGTGTGTGTATATATTTGTGTATATTTGTATATATGTGTATTTGCATATATGGTTTTGTAATGTATTTATAATTGTTTGGCTTTTTAAGTCTCTTCTGCTGTGTTTTCAGTGTTTTTATGAGTGATGGTCACTCGTTGGCCTGATATGTGTATTGTGTCCAAATTTGGTATCACTTTGCCCAGTGGTTTTTGAGTTATGGTAATCCCACAAACGAACATTACATTTTTATTTATATAGAAGATATATATATATATATATATATATATACACTCAAACACAGATATATACGCATATACACAAATATATACACACACAAAGCACATATACACAGATTGGGCCACAGCAACGTGTGGCAGGGGGTGGCTTAGTATTTAATTTATTTCTGGATGAGCGCTATTGTTCAACTTGTTCTATAATGCTATGAATCCTAATAGGAAATTAGCTTCCCCCACTATATACTAGGAGGATTCACAGCCTATACCAAACTTATGGATTGTGCTCACTCCAGCTTCACAACAATCCTGTGAAGTAGGACAGGGAGTGAAGGAAGGTAGTGGGAATTACTGCCCTGAGGCCATATAGCAGGCATGGGCAAACTTGGGCCCTCCCTCCGGGTGTTTTGGACTTCAACTCCCACAATTCCTAACAGCCTACCGGCTGTTAGGAATTGTGGGAGTTGAAGTCCAAAACACCCGGAGGGAGGGCCCAAGTTTGCCCATGCCTGATCTCTCTCTTTCTCTCTCCAATTTTACCTGGGCCGCGGCGAGGCGTGGAGGAGCCGGCGGGGGCCTCTTCCCGTCCCGCCTGGCGCTGCGAGGAGGATCCGTCGGCAGGAGGAGGCCGCAACGCGGAGAAGGCCGGAGGGCGCCATGTCGGAGGGCAGAGAATAGGCCGCGGCTTCCCCTCTCCGACTGAGTCCAAAGGCTCTGCTCTTCAGCCTTGGCGCCGCCCACGGAATTCCTCTTCCGCTTGGAAGCAGGCGCGCAGGCTCCGTAAGGCCACGCCAATTGCGCAACGAACGCTGGGGCTGCCTCCAGCCCAGGCCAACTTGGGCTCTCCAGGTGTTTGGGCTCGTAGGGGAGGATGCGGTGACGAAGATAGGCAGGACCTGAACCATTTAGAGCTTTATAGGTGATAACCTGCACCTTGAATTGGGACAAACTTTGGCCCTTCCTCCAAGTGTTTTGGACTTCAACTCCCACAATTCCTAACGGTTGGCATTAACTCATGGCCAAGTATGATTGCCTTCCAAGTGAGGTGTCTTGGCAATGGGTCCATAGGTGACTGTAGAGACGTATTCTTGATCCACACGTTCTTTTGCATTGAGAACATCAGTTTCCAGAAGGAAGGCATTGGCTTGTCATTCCTTCCTCTTGGCACATTTCTCCCTTTCGCCCTCCATTCGTGCCTCTTTGAATTCTGCAGCACTGCTGGTCACAGCTGACCTCCAGATAGAATGCTTTAAGGGCAGTTCTCGGTGCCTATGCCACAGTTTTCAAGGTTAGCTTTAAGCCCATCTTTAAATCTCTTTTCCTGTCCACCAACATTCCATTTTCCATTCTTGAATTGGGAGTATAGTAACAGTTTTGGGAGATGGTGATCGGGCCATCGGACAATGTGGCCAGTCCAGCAGAGTTGATGGCGCAGGAGCATCGTTTCAATGCAACCCAATGAGGGAAAGCCTTGCATGAGTAAACAAAAGGATCTTGAACCTTCTAGACAATTTCCAAATGCATCAAGGAGTGATTTTCCCCCTTTCTTTCACCAGCCTCCACTATTGTCATGCTTTCCATTTTGGCAGTCAAACATTTTTATCACACTGCTGGTGAGATAGGTACGGTATGGTTGCCCTTCTCCTGAGATAGGTATGTCTGCTCATAGATGCTAAATAAAAGGAGCTACAATACTATTTGTGAAGCAAGTGATGCAACACTGATAGGATCAACATGAGCAGAAATCTGTTATTTCTCAAGTCCTGCTTTTATTATACTGTATGAAGTAAAGACAACATGGTGAGGACACACTGTTCCCCTATGATGGAGAAGCAATGCGTTTCTCCAGCTCTCCTTCATCCTCCTCTCAAAGTTGATGCTGTAAAAAACAAAACAAAAAAAAACAAAACAAAAAAAACAAACCTCCAGCTGGGCCAGGATTCTTAACTATGGGTCAGTGGATCCCCAAGATTTCAGGGGGTCTGTGAGCATATTTTTTTAAATCAACTTATTCTTATTTTCATATAATCATAGTTGGTTGAGACCTCGTGAGCCATCCAGTCCAACCCCCTGTCAAGAAGCAGGAAAATTGCTTTCAAATCACCCCCGACAGATGGCCACCCAGCCTCTGCTTAAAAGCCTCCAAAGAAGGAGCTTCCAGCACACTCTGGGGCAGAGAATTACACCGCTGAATAGCTCTCACAGTCAGGAAGTTCTTCCTCATGTTCAGGTGGAGTCTCCTTTCCTGTAGTTTGGAGCCATTGTAAGGTGTCCTTTTCTCAAGGGCAGCAGAAAACAACCTTGCTCCCTCCTCCCTATGACTTCCCCTCACATATTTATCCATGGCCCTCATCATGTTTCCTCTCATTCTCTTCTGTAGGCTAAACATTGCCAGCTCTTTAAGCTGCTCCTCATAGGGCTTGTGCTCCGGACCCTTGATCATTTTAGTCGCCCTCCTCTGGACACATTCCAGCTTGGCAACAGCTTCTCAGACCTCTAAATGAAATCTAGCGTTTCCTTCACTTATGAATGTATACAATTGGAGTTGTTGAATATCTTAAAAAATTGATTACACTCATCCATATTTTGAAATTACGGTGGTTGTTAGACTTGATGCAGATCACACATGATCACAGTTCTGTGTATAAGCTATTGTGTGATGTAGTTGATCAACTATCTGGCAACACACAACAGGTAACAAAAAGAAGAAGATCTCCTGAGTGGTTTCTGATCTTTTGAGATATAGGGGTGGTTTTGAAATTTCGGGAAATTTGTAAAACGTAATTTTGAAAAATCCTAAAATTAAATTCAAAAACATGCTGCTGTTGAGTGCCACAAAACTGCAACATTCTGAGAAGGGGTCCATGTTCCTAACAAAGGGGTCTGTGGAACAAAATGGTTAAGAACCTCTGAGCTAGACAGTGGACAAGGGGAGAAAAGGGCTTTTGGGGCACGAAAAGACTGTGGAAAAGAGCTGTTAGTGTCTTTGGGCCCTTCCACACAGAAGTATATCTCAGAATATCAAGGCAGAAAAACCCACAATATCTGCTTTCAACTGGGTTATCTGAGTCCACAATGCCATATACCCCAGTTCAAAGCAGATAATGTGGGCCTTTGTTAACTGAAGTACCATAAGTACTCCTGTTAAAGGAGAAAGAGGAGGAGGAGGAGGACTGATATACATTCAAAGGAAGCTTTATCAATTCATGTGATGTTTCTAGGTTTCCAGAACAATGGATTTTATCCTCTGTATGTAGAAGCTTTCCCCAAGATTAATTCAGAACTGAAAATAATAGTTTGTCCTTGATAGAGTGAGGTAACCACTCAGATTACAGGTGATGAAAGGACAGGAACAGAGACCCCCCATTTTTTAGTCCTTGGGTCCTTCCTCTTTGAGGAAGGACAGAGATGCATATGTCATATGGCTCATCTTCACCCCCTAACATGACAACACCATGTTGTCTTCATTCAGCCAAAGGTTTAGCACTGTTCCTGCTGAAGAACTAAATTGAAAATAGGTGAAAAGTAAAGATACCATGCTGTAGCTGGACAATGCCACCCATGTTGATCTTGCTAGTCATCTAGTCTTTGGACTAGCTTGGATTGCTGTTATCCTGTGCCTGATAACCCCCAGTCTGGAATCCCTTTATTCTTACATTGCAAGTCATGACCTGTAAACCCAACACATAACTTTATGACCCTTCTCCCACTTGGGTTGCTTCCCAGGCAGTAAACTGCTTCAGCTGGAATTCCATAGCCCCACCTTTAAGTGCAAGACCATTCTTCTACATTTTCTTTTAGTTGGCACACATACATTTAGGTGAGGCACTGTCAAGGTAGGTGAGATCTTGGAACACTTTCTAAAGAACAACACCTTTTGGCCCATATGTGACCAACTCTGATGGAGTGCCAGCTGTACACTGCAAGGGTTTGGCAGCACTGCTGGGACAAGAGGAGCCATCCTTTAAAGACAGTGAGATCATAAATTCATAGAATCATAGACTTGGAAGAGATCTCATGGGCCATCCAGTCCAACCCCTTGCCAAGAAGCAGCAAAATTGCATTCAAAGCAGGCCAGGCAGATGGCCATCCAGCCTCTGTTAAAAACCTCCAAAGAAGGCGCCTCCACCGCACTTCAGGGCAGAGAATTTCACTGCTGAACAGCTCTCACAGGAAGTTCTTCCTAATGTTCAGGTGGAATCTCCTTTCCTGTAGTTTGAAGCCATTTTCCCATTGCATCCTAGTCTCCAGGGCAGCAGAAAACAAGCTTGCTCCCTCTTCCCCATGACTTCCCCTCACATATTTATACATGGCCATCATGTCTCCTCTCAGCCTTCTATTCTGCAAGTTAAACATATCTAGCTCTTTAAGCCACTTCGGGCTTATTCTCCAGACCCTTGATCATCTTTGTCACACTTCTCTGGACACATTCCAGCTTGTCAACATCTCCCTTAAATTGTGCCCATATGGGACAGCTCTGGCTATCTGTCTCAACTGTGTTCAAATTCACAGCAAGGCTGGGGGCTCATGCCATTCTCCATTTCATTCACTTTGTAACTGGGAAATGGGGTCTGGACAGGTGTTATGGATGACCAACAATTGAGGGACATGGATTGGTAAACACTGAGAGCCAACAAGGTGTATTGGTTTGAGTGTTGTATTAGGACACTGAAAGACCACAGTCCAAATCCTTGCTTGACCATGGAAGCCTCCTGGTAGACTCTGGGCAAGTCACATCCTGTCAGCTTCAGAAGAAGGCAGAGGCAAACCCTGAACAAATTCTGTCAGGAAAACCCTATGATAGATATGGTTTAGGGTCCCAGTGTCAGAAAGGTACCCAATAACATAAACTTATCTCTTCAGGAATATTTCTCTCTTGACAGTATAAAGAGCTTCCTTCTGTGTATGTGTGTGTGTATTACTGACAGCAGCTTTTGCAACATTTGCACCATTGATCATCCAGATTCAGGGACTGGTCTTATCTGCAGAACAACATCTACTTTGTATGTATGTCCCCATGACTCGGCCCACAAACTAGTTAAACCAGATGATTTGGCAAGGAATCCCATTCAATTCCCATTCACGCCAAGGTAGCATGCTTGAGCAATCCTACGTGTACCTTAATGTTGGAGAAATCCATTGCTGCTATATCAGTTACCAGATCATGACCTTGCTTTTCTTTGGAAGGGAAAGAAGAGGGAAAATGCAACATGGAGAGGAAATAAAAATAGCAGTGAGACAACAGATGCATCTACAGTGCTCTTGAAAACACTACCACTGTTCCATTGATCAGACATAAAAGGAGCCAGGAACGTGAAAGCAGGACAAGGACTAGATATAAACTGACATAATGCAACTATAGCATTGTGTTTGGAATCTTGTCAGGTGTGCACTGCAGTCTCACACATGTCTGCTCAGAAATAAGCTTCTCAGAACTCAAGGGACTTACTTTTAGGTAAACATGTATTCAGTTAAGGACTTATACTTTCAGGATATATTCCTTTATCTTTTAAACTCACCTGGTAGAGAGACATTCCATAATCCTGTGTTTGACAAGTAGCTTCTTCCCTATGAGGGTTTTCACTACAATAAAGTAATTAGGTTTTAAGGTGGCACATGGCTCTTTAATTACTTTTAGGAGTTTGTCAAAGAAGCAATGTCTCGTTGTGGATTTCTATCCAACTTTCATGAATCCACAGCTTCCTAGTTGCTGTTGTGCTATACAGCAAATACATCCTGCTA